CCTTTAACTCTTTGTGCTGAAATCTCCAGACTCTGTGCTCAATTTTGGTGGAAAACAGGCTCTGATCAATCTCATGGGATTCACTGGAAAAAATGGGCATGGCTGTCTCTTCCTAAACAACATGGAGGTTTGGGTTTCTTGGATTTACAGCTGTTTAACAAAGCCTTGATATGTAAACAGCTCTGGAGGGTGGTTTCTAACCCTGATCTTTTAGTAAGCAGATTGCTCAAGGACAGATATTTTCCTAACACCTCTATTGTCCATGCTCAAAAAATTCAAGGGGGGTCTTGGATGTGGAACAGTTGGATGGATGTTTTACCAGTATTTTCTAAGTGGCTGAGAATAGAAGTGAGGAATGGACTCAATACAAGAATTGATGACTTCAATTGGGTCCCAAATCTTAATAAGCCTGCACCATCTTTAATTCCAATAGCCAGAGGACATCTTTTATGGGTGAAGGATTTAATGCAGACTAATGGGAAGCAGTGGAATGAATGGTTAATCAACCAGGTGTTTGATGATGTTGAAAGCAAAGCCATACTTCAAATTTCATCTATCAATCCCAACAAGAGTGACAGACTGTTCTGGGGGTTGGAAAAAAAAGGCTTCTTCTCTGTCTCCAGTACTTATAAGCATCTATAAAATACCTGGAGGCAGACTTTCCTGAAAGCAGCACTTCATCTTCTATAAAGATCAGCACGAGGTTCAGATTTTGGAAGCTTAAGATTGCAGGAAGAATGTTTTCTTGTGGAAATGCCTGTCCAAATGCATTCCTGTTTCCTTGCAGCTGAGGAGGAGAGGTATGGACTTGGATACTATTTGTATTTTTTGCGATGAGGAGCATGAATCTATAGAGCACATTTTTTTCAAATGTCCAAGGGCTAGAAAGTGCTGGGATCTAAGTCTTGTGCATTGGGATGGACTTGCAGGTTTGAATGATTCTTTTCCAGATTGGTGGTTTTCCGTGTGTTCCTTGGACAAATCAGAGGTAGCTGAAGCTCGCATCCAACTCTCCACTTATTTACTTTGGTGGCTCTGGAAGTCCAGGAACCTTTGGATCTTCCAAAAGACTTTGATCCCTGAGCAGGTGTTAGTGAATATGGCCCATGCTGAATGGCTGGAGTATTCTGCTGCTCATTCTTAGCTGTTTGTTTCCTTTGTTTGTTTCTAGTTGGTTTTGTTAGTTGTTCTAGTTGTAGTTTTTATTATTGGGGAAGGATTTCCTTAGCTAGGCTTATGCAGTGGTTGGAGGTCCTTTCTTAGTTTTTTTTCTGGGTGTTTGAGGGCTTTGTTTGTCTGTGAGGCTTTAGACCGCCTGTGGCGTGTCTCTCAATTTTTATATCTAGTAGTTGACATTTGTATTCGAACGGTGTTCGCTCTTTGTTTTAATAGTTAATTCTGTCGTTTTGGGAAAAAAAATAAGAATGTCTTTTTTTTTTCATTTGCACAAATATGTAGAAAAAACAAAGAACCATTTCATCTCAAAAAACTTTTATGTATTTTACAACACTTAAAAAACTAACTTAGAATAAAAATTGATATAAGATAAGTTCATAAAACTAACATTAATTTACATTATTAAAATGGCTTGAAAAGATAGGTATGATTATTTATCATATATATATATATATATATTAGTTTAATTAATAATGGTATCTATACAAATGAAAAAAAAAAAAAATAATCGATATGGTTATGATTTATTTTCATAATTTACTTCATATTATTTTTTACTTACCAAATTAACAAAATTGCAATTATATTAGTTTTATATGAACGTTATTAAATATTAGATATTGATTGCGAAAAACAAAAATAAAATGATAAGTGAAACATACTAAAAGTAACTTAAGAAATAAGTGGGAAAATATACTATTACATTAATGTTATATATATATAATCATAAATTAAATGATTCAAATTACTTCTCAAAAGTAAAAAAGAAAAAAGAAAAAGAAAAGAACTATATAAAATATTGACGAAGAGATAAAAAATAATATTAAAATAAAAATAAAATATGAAAGAATTTTTTTTTTTTCAAACGATAGAGATATTATATAACGCGCACAAATATGCAAAAGAGCATCCATCGACTGAATGCAAACAACTAACAACTGAATAGAAACAGCTAACAGCTGAAAAAGGGGGAAAACAAGTCTGAACACTGCCTAGAACCGACCCTAACAGGGAAATGCACGGAAAACACAAAAACACTACTAAAAAACAAACACACAAAGACCGCAACAGGGCAATGCCCGAGTGTACGATCCCAACTGTGTGTGTGTTGTGTAATGTGTGTGTGTGTATGTGTGTGTGCGTGTGGGAGAAGATGAATGAGGGGTTAGTGGGGTGGCCGATATTTATGATGATATTAATTATTAATGTGTATAGTGGTGGTTCCCACATGGTTGTTGGATTTGAACTAAATGTCCAAACTATTGGTCAAATGTATATATTTGGCCACATTATGATCATATAATTACTAGATTGTCATTAGTAATTGACCATAGTTTGACTTCATCATAACCATTAATACGATTGATCTCATGGTCCAGATTACTTTCACTATCAATCATTCTCATATGATCCCAACTATAGTCAAATGCGGTTGGTTTCTTAAAGTGAGGACGTGAGACTCATTTTTAGCCACAAGATTTGGTATATAATGTGTGAAGATTTAATCTTTTTTTTATTGTTTTAATTATTTAAATATTATTTTGACCTGTTGACTTCGGCGTTGACTCTTGACTTTCGATGTTGACTTTCGGCGAAATCCGTTGACTTCCGGCATTGACCGTTGACTTCTGGCGTTGACTCCGATGTTGACCGTTGACAACTAACCTTCCAACTAGGTTAGTTCTCTGCAGTTGCTAGTTTAGTTCATTGTAGTTGCTAAGTTAGTTCTTTGTAGTTGCTAGGTTAGTTGTCTGTAGTTGCTAGGTTAGTTCTCTGTAGTTGCTAGGTTACTTCTCTCTAGTTGCTAGGTTAGTTGTCTGTAGCTGCTAGGTTAGTTGTCTGTAGTTGCTAGGTTAGTTCTCTATAGTTGCTAAGTTATTAGTATGTAATTGCTAGGTTATTTCTCTGTAGTTGCTAGGTTAGTTGTCTATAGTTGGTAGGTTAGTAGTTGCTAGGTTAGTTATCTGTAGTTGCTAGATTAGTGCTCTGTAGTTGCTAAGTTAGTAGTTGCTAGATTAGTTCTCTGTAGTTGGTAGGTTAGTAGTAGTTAGGTTAGTTCTCTGTTGTTGCTAGATTAGTTCTCTATAGTTGCTAGTTTAGTTGTGTGTAGTTGCTAAGAGTTGTCTGCATTTTAAGAGCCGACCTTATTTGATCCGCTCCCTATATATATATATGTGTGTATGTGTGTGTGTGTGTGTGTGTAAAATCCCTAGAAGAAACGTCGCCTTCTTGACACTCTTGATTTTTCACCTAAGTGGCAGCACGAGCTACCAAGTTACCCAAAATCCCTAGAAGAAACGCCGAGTATGAGCCCTCATTTGTCAATGGAATCAACAAGCGCTTCATGTGGTGAAGTTGACCTCCGACCTTCAACTCCTCTGGCATTTTAGACTATCTAGTTGTGCAGTCAAGCCCGTAGATGACATAGGTAGGCGTCGTTTGCGACGAGCTGCTGTCGTGCTGCACATTATGTATTTTCCCCATTCTCACTGGTATGATCCTCACACTCATTTATTTTAATGCGTTTTTCCAGAATCACTATCCAACGCCGTCGCTGTCGACCCCAACTCTTCGCTAAAAGCCGCTCAGACGCCCGCCGATGTGCAACCTCATTAGGATAGATGCACATTCGTCCTAAATTTAATCGAGTTGTTCATGAATAAATGGGTCATCACTATTGACTTCTATACTAAAGGTTTGTTTGTTTCATCCATATAAACGTACTTCATATTTTGAGTTTGTCTTGCGGTGTTAGGAGTTTTGTAAGCTTCATAAATTAGATTTATGTTAATATATGAATGCTATAGGGTCACACAATATGCAATCGACTTTTTCGAGTAATAGTGAATCAGGGGTGTTAAATATTCAATTACATAGAGTATTTAATTATGAATAGCGAGATTATTTTCTATTTAATATGAAATATATTATTATTATACTAAATTGAATTTATACTTAACTGAATAATTAAGTCCATTTACATATTGGACCACATGATCTCATATTATTATATGAATAGCGAGATTATTTTCTATTTAATATGAATTATATTAATATTATACTAAATTAAATTTATCCTTAACTGAATAATTAAGTCCATTTACATATTGGACCACATGATCTCATATAACTTATATAATTATATTTGACATAGTTATAAATCTCATTATCTCTTCTTAGTTTTTGATCGAAAAATTGTGAGATCAGGAAATAGAAATTGCGAGATGAGATCGATACAAACACTTTCCAACTTTGTTGAACCGAGGATTTCTATCTTCTTCATGAGGTCCATTTTATTGACATTGGATCGTGTATTAGAGAGCTCGATTGTGTGAACCATAATCGAAAATAAAACTTACAAATAATGGTAGATTTTGTGAAGAAAAAATTTCAAATTTCGTTGTGCATGCCATGGGTTCTCACATTTAATTCCAACACAATAAAATATAAAAATCAAACCAAATCTCAATACACAAAAAATTAAACTTCACCAACTTGCACGTGTGGCTCGATTTTTTGGTTTCGACTCAGTTTTGCTTACGTATGACAATAGAAAGCGGTGCTACAAAACACGATTTCAGCAGGTCCATACCAAATTTGCAGGTCCTCCCTCGAGCGTGTAACTTTCGCTGCCCTTTCTCCAATTCCACCCTCTCCACCAATCAACCCACAGAAATCCCCAAAAAAAATCAAAATCCCGATTGAAGCTTATTCGAAGAATCCCCAAATTTCCTTTCCCAAACAAATTCTCATCGATCTATTTTGCACGGCTCCACTTTGCCATATACGATTTTTTTTACAGAATAAATTTATGATCGGATGCGATGTATAGCAATTTCAAAGAACAAGCGATCGAGTATGTTCGGCAGGCCGTGGCGGAGGATAATGCCGGGAACTACGCCAAGGCCTTCCCTCTGTACATGAACGCCCTCGAGTATTTCAAAACCCACCTCAAGTACGAGAAGAACCCCAAGATCAAGGAGGCCATCACGCAAAAGTTCACCGAGTACTTGAGGCGGGCCGAGGAGATCCGGGCCGTGCTCGACGAAGGCGGGTCTGGCCCCACATCGAATGGGGACGCCGCGGTGGCGACCCGGCCCAAGACTAAGCCCAAGGATGGCAATGATGGGGAGGATGGGGATAAGGAGAAGCTCCGGTCCGGGCTGAATTCAGCTATTGTTAGGGAGAAGCCTAATGTTAAGTGGAACGATGTTGCCGGCTTGGAGAGTGCCAAGCAGGCGCTTCAGGAAGCTGTGATTTTGCCGGTGAAGTTCCCCCAGTTTTTTACTGGTATGATTTCTGTTTCATGCCTTCTTCTTTATGGTTTTCCTTTAGTTAGTGGATCTGACTTTTGAGTTAGTGTGTATAGAGCGTATGTATAAGATAATCTGTTATTGATTGAAGTTGTTGAATCGAGTGAGTTTGTTAGATTGTTGGGTTATTTTGGTATTGTGAAGTATTCTTATGATGCAAATTGTGAGTTTGTTAGATTGTTGGGTTGTTGTGGTATTTCGAAGTATTCTTATGATGCAAATTGTTCCGGATGGTTACATTACATTTGGCGGTATGTATGCGTTATTTTCTTAATTGAGTTGTTTCCATATACTTTGTACTTGATATTTTTGGTTGTCCTAGAAATTTTGGTGGAGGTTAGTTATTACCTGAGCAGCTCGTTTTGTTCTGGAGAGTAGACATGGTGGTTGTATAGTAGCACATTAGAATTTTCTTTAGGCTTTAGTCAATTGTATGATGAGAAGGGTTCAAGGTTAAATAGATAAAAAGATGGAAATTTTGGGTTTCTACTGCTCTCTTTATGTTTGTCTGAGGTCTCTGTCTTGTCAACTGCAAGTTTGTGCTTTACCTCAGATTCTAGTTTTACTTTAGAGCCTAGGGCTTTTGCTGCAACACTATAAGTTTGCACAAGTTCATATGAAGTTAGCTCCATTCTCACTCAAATGGGCTATTATCCCTCTTAGACAAGAAAACAGAGGCGGCTAAAAGAAGGAAGAAGAAGTATAATATAGCTCATGTTGGAGAAAAAATGTTAAGTTTCCTAGTAGATATTATAATTTTCTGGATAGCACATAGCCTCTCTCTCTCTCTCTCTCTCTCTCTCTCTCTCTCTCTCTCTCTCTCTCTATCTATCTATATATATATATACGGTTTTGCTATGGAGCCATCGGATGGCTCGACTTATGGAGCCATCCATTGTTATTCACAAATGATGTATTGACATGTGTCCTGCAATAAATGCACATTGGACATGTGTCAGTACATAAAGTCATGGATGGCTCCATAAGGGAGCCATCCGATTGCTCCATAGATTTTCTGTATATATATATATATGTGTGTGTGTGTGTGTGTGTTTGTAATGTGGGTTTTTGTATATCATTTGGCTTTTCTTATAGGCAAGAGGCGCCCGTGGAGGGCTTTTCTTTTATATGGTCCTCCCGGTACTGGAAAATCATACTTAGCCAAGGCAGTTGCCACCGAAGCCGACTCGACATTCTTCAGGTAAACTATCCATCGAATATTTTATCTACATTCCACATGTGTACAGGCATGCCTCTTTTTTCGACTTTTGGGTCTCCTATAGTTTTCCTGACTAACTTTCTTCTCCCGGGAATGTGGGGGAGGTGAATTCAAATGTTCCTGGCAAAGATTAGATTCCAAATCATATTTTATTTTCCAAATCATATTTTATTTTCCTTCTGTTTTTTGGAATTAATCCAGTCAGTTTAAATGTTTCTCCAAAAATCAATATATGGATTCACGGTTTAGTTGTTTCGAAAAGTCCCTGATATCATGTCTTAATCAGGTCACGTCATCATTTACATTACTTCATATTATTTTTCGATTAGCATAGGGATAGAGTGAAGGGTGAAAGCAAATGAAAATAATAGATAATTGATATTAATAATTAAGAAAATAACTTAAAAAACTCGGGATGAATCCCGCACAGCCTAAGGCCGATACCTACGGTAGGAACTTCCTGCCCAAGCTTAAAGTTGACAATCCTATTCGAAAAAAGATATCCAAGGTATCAAATGTTAGTTTACTTAAATAGAATAGAGTCCTAATCCCAGTTATAACTTATAACCCTAAATGGTTATTATAAGCTAATGGACTCAAAAGCCCAATTATTGAAATAAATGAAATAACAGTCCGTTTCTAACAATTCTGTTAACCATTCTCCGGCTGTTTTGAACAGCCTTGTCCTCAAGGCTGTCGACCTGACTTCAAAATACATCCCAAATCATTATTGCAAGTAGATAAATTGTTGTGGTTCAGTTCAAGTATCACAAAATCTGATGGTATGCCAAACAACAAGGATGAACACATCAAGAGAGAACTACGTTCATAATGAACTCTGTAAGACGCCATCGTGGTACGGCCACCACAACGAGATTTAGTGTTGAAAAATCAAGGAGCTACTGAAACATTGCTTGCTTAGAGGAAACCAGCAGGAACTTGTGTCATTATGCGGAGAGAAGTGGGTAGAGGAGCAGGCAATGCAAGTAAAGTCATTCCCATCGGGAGAGGAGCTGCTGCCAGAACAGCGGAAGGAGGAGGAACAAGTTCCTTCACATGGGGCACGATTTGTGTTGTCAATTGATTCGGGAGGCACCAACCCTTTGTCACGAAGTAATAGCTTCATCAACTCTTCAATTAAGCTAACGATACATAGGTGTCGCTTATTATATAATACCCTAATGTATTGTGTCTATGTGTTCCTCCAGCGATTTCATCCGTGTCTCTAGTGATGCCATCCGATTTTGAATTCGGCAAGTCAGACCAATTGATAGAGTGAAGAGTTAAAGAAAACGAAAATAATAGATAATCGATATTCTTAATTAAGAAAATAACTTGAAAACAACTCGGGACAAATCCGTCCAGCCTAAGGCGGCAGAAACTTCCCGCCAAGCTCAAAGCCGACAATCCTATCGACAAAAGATTATCCTGGGTATCAAATGTTAGTCTACTTAAATAGACTAGTAACCTAATTATAACCCTAATGGATATTTTGAGTAAATGGGCAAATGCCCAATTGATGAAAATTGAAAAGAATGAAATAACAATCGATCTCTAACACATAATAATTTAACTCTGTAAATATGTAACACATAATAATTTTATTCTGTAAATATGTGTATATGTATTTCAGTTATGTGATTGGCTAATTTAATTGTACATCCATATTATATCCACTTGCAATTTTTCATTCCCCATTCTTAATAATCAAGTACATAGGATGTAAAGTGGGAAGTACCTGTTCTTTTTCAGTGTTTCTTCTTCGGATTTGGTTTCAAAGTGGATGGGTGAAAGTGAAAAGTTGGTCTCAAATCTCTTTCAAATGGCTCGTGAGAGTTCCCCAGCCATCATATTTATTGATGAAATAGATTCCTTGTGTGGTCAGCGTGGGGAAGGGAACGAGAGCGAAGCTTCGAGACGGATCAAAACAGAATTGCTGGTCCAGATGCAGGTAATTTATTAGAAGTGATTGATAGTGGGTTCATGTCTTGGTTATCTTTCCTTAACTTCACGTTGGATAATATTTTTAGTAGGTGTGGCACTTTGAAGCCATTCGTTGTTATGAATTTAGGATGCTGCAGTTACATTGAATTGTATTAATGCTACTACGCAATGATTGGTTCTTTCTCTATTTTTTATTATTTTAATCTTCTGGGTGAATATGTGAAAGTTGTTTAAATCCTAGTCACGTGCACCTCTTGATTAATTATAATTATACATTTGAACACCATTGCTCATAAATTTCTTCTTTATGGGAAGAACCGAACCATTTACCATTTCCATTGTTTTGTTAATAAACCATAGGGTGTGGGCCACAATGATGACAAAGTTCTCGTTCTTGCTGCAACGAATACTCCCTATGCTCTTGATCAGGTCACGTCTAATCCCAGATTGGCCGAGTTCTAAACATACACTCATATATGGCTAGCACTTATATTTCTGTTCCCCTCTTCCCCACAGGCCATCCGACGGCGTTTTGATAAGCGCATTTACATCCCACTTCCTGATCAGAAAGCAAGACAACACATGTTTAAAGTATGTAGCCTTTTATGTAGCCTTTTTTCTAGCTTCTTATGCACGGAGAATGTATCAAATTAGTTATTCCGGGCCATGTGATCTCATTTGGGCTGTTGAGTTTATGCAGGTGCATTTAGGAGATACCCCTCACAACTTGAATGAAAGTGACTTTGAAGCCCTAGCACGTAAAACAGAAGGTTTTTCTGGTTCAGATATTTCTGTTTGTGTAAGTATGAATTATTTATGTATTCGATAACATTTTATTTTAACATAACCCAATGACAGTTTTATTTTTTTCCTTTTTATTTACTTTAATAGGTCAAGGATGTCTTATTTGAACCTGTACGTAAAACACAAGACGCCATGTTTTTCACCAAGACTTCTAATGGTTTGTGGATGCCATGTGGGCCTAAGCAACCAGGTGCAGTCCAGATAACTATGCAGGAGCTTGCTTCACAAGGACTTGCTGCAAAGGTAATAAACAATCTGATTGTAATATCTGTAACTTAACAGAATCTGAGCATGTTCTGTGCTTTCTCGTTTCGTGATTACTTAAATTTTCCATGATATGCAGTTATAAATCATTCTCCTTGGGTTTCCTTCATCTTGTGCATGAAATAAAATTTAGATGATGTTCAATAATTTATTTGTCGAGATTGCCTGTTTCTATAGTCGAATAAATGTACTGAAATGCAAGCTGGTTAGTAATATACGAGCTAAAGGAAAAGATTATTGCACTATTTGCCAAGTGAATTGCAGTTAATATACCTTTGTTGGAGTAAATGTAACTAATGAATAAGTAAAATGTATCCTGTCAAGCAATATTAGTGGGAGTGATAGCTTTGGTCAGAGATGATTGAACATTTCCCCAAACCTGATTATGCATTGAATCGATAACAAGTTCTGGTATCGCCTAGAATTAAGGCCGACAAATTGATGTATTAATGTTTTGTGGAGCATGATGGTTAGATTTAGTTAATCTTACTGTACAAAAATATTATATTAATTAATAGAAAGTAGACGTGCAGGAAAAAACACAAAACACGGGTGTTTGTAACATCGCAAGTGGGGATATTTGATGGATGAAGAGAACAATTTTACTTAGTTTTTGTTTACTTTAAGTAATAGTTCTTACTTACCCTACTGGTCATGATGTACTAAGAACAATGAGTATTATGTCGTTGGCTGTGACCTAAATACCTAATCGATGGATCCACACTTGTGTTCTATGATTATTGATCACGATTGATTGCTGCACAGATAATCCCACCTCCCATATCAAGAATGGACTTCGATAAGGTCCTCGCGAGGCAGAGGCCAACAGTGAGCAAATCTGATCTCGACGTGCACGAGAGGTTCACAAAGGAGTTTGGCGAGGAAGGTTAGAGAAAACACTAGAAATGATGAGATACATATTCACGTGTTCTTGCCATTTGCTTGTTGTGTTTTTATTAATGGGGAAGATGACACGACCCTCTTGCCTTTTCTTCAGTTACTGGGCAGGAAATGAGCCTAAACTTGTTGGGTGTGCTTGTATTTATCGATGTGTGAACACATTGGACCGTGTTTTTTATCGAACATTGTTGATATGGTTTGTATGCACTTGGCACAATTCTAGTTGCAATATGGAATTGTATCAATAAGTTCATCTCTTGTTCTGTGGGAATTTCCTTGGTGAAAATGCATGCTCAGTGTGAGTGTTGTGCTCTGGAATTTATGTTTCAAAAGTTCATGAGTGTTTATAGTGTTACAAGTGGCTAAAAGGAGGTATAAATTGTGTCTAGTGTTTAGGTTAAAGAGAAGTTGGGATCAAAATTTCATGATTAATAATAATGAGAAAGCTTTAAACCCTGTAAATATTTTCTTTTTAATATCGATATATTTTCTCACAGAAAATTTATGGAACGTGATGGTAAAATTAAATCATTCAACAAAAAAGGTGAATGAAAATAATGACAACTAATTGAAATTTTTTTAGAATTTTATAAACTCCAATAAATATCATATTAGAAATAATAAATATTTACTCATAAACAAAAAAAAAAGCATTTTCATAATAAATAATAAAGTTAATACTAGAACACAATAGGCTTACACACGGCTAAATTTCATTTCTCGTACACTATGTTGGTCATTTTCTGAAAATGGTCCATTATATAGGGCGCCTCCAATAATGATCCACTAAGTTGTCATTTTAATAAACACTAGTACAAAAGCCATCATAGTGTGCTAAATATATGACCACTAAAAATGATGACTTCTATGTTGGTCATTGTACGGACTCTGATTAAATTGGTAAATTAATGAAAAATTCTTGATAACGTCCTATATGATGGACCCTTTTCAGAAAACGACCATTCAGAAAACGACCAACATACCAGGCAGGCCTACATTTATAATTTGTCGAATAGCCCAAAAGAGCAAAGTGCCCGTCTCTTCTACCAACGAGCCCATGTATTATCAGCCCAAATCACAAACCTAGGGCAAATGAACTATATATACAGTCTCCATCCCACTCGCCGGAAGAAGAAAAGGTGCTTGTGCAAGGCAAGGCAAGGCAAGGCAAGGCAGGGCTTTCGACCGTCAAATCTCTCAAGTAATTTTCTTTACCCTTCTCTATGTTGTTCAATCTTTCAACATAAATGCTGTTAATTGGAGTTCTGTTTGATTCTCAAGCAAATTTTGTTTGATTCTGTTATATAGAGATGAAGGTGATAGCAGCTTATTTGTTGGCTGTTTTGGGAGGCAACACCACCCCCTCCGCCGATGATGTTAAGGCTATCCTTGGCTCAGGTATTTTCTTTTCTCTTTTATTTTGTTTTTGGGAGTTTTGGCTTCAATCTTGGATTGAATCTTTTCAGGATTTTGGTGCCCTACTGTTAGATTTTGTGCTTAGATTTGAAAATTTTTCAGTTTTGTGATGTTCAACACTTGAGGATGCTTAATTGAACTTTTAGGTCACTTGTTTTGCTGTATCGGTTCATGGTGTAAATCTAAAGGAGCCATGAAAAACATTTGATCTGTTTCATTTTGTTTGCGTTGGCTACATTTCAGTGTAGAGTTGCAGTTGTGGATTTATTTATTTTATATAAGGAAACTGTCTTGGTGTTTGCGATATATACTTCTGTTTCCCATATTTTGTTGAATGAGTTATGGAAAATGTCTTAGCAGAGATTTATGAATGGATTGTTTTCCTGTTTGCGAGTTTTAATGTTGTCTTATCCGTTGAACTCCGTCGAACATTTGTTGTTTTCTATTGGTAATTTCTCCATATATGATTTGGTATTCATATTGTATTGACGATTTATTATGTCATCTGATCCTACTGACATATATGTTTGTAGTTGGCTGTTATTTGGTATTACAGCAAGGCTAATTTAGCAGTCCTAACGGTTAGGTTTAGAAGCCATACGTTCTCAATAGATATGCATACTTCAAGATTAAATATCATAAGCTAAAAATATCATAGACAAAAAGTATAATATTGTATAACATAAGTATATGCATTTTTGTTGAAAAAAGTATGCTCGGCCAACCCATCTAATGGTTAGCTATGCTACCTGGACTCGGATATGGGTGGCGTATCAGGTGTGGAGATATGAGCGTCCGACTCATCAATTGTTTATAAATCTTGAACATATTAGTCTAAAATGCCACACCCGACACTCATACCCACACCAGCGTCGACACGACATGACACGGGTATTCTTCCTAAATAGAAGAGTCCGGGTAACATAGATGGTTAGTATGCCTCATAGAAGAATGTCTGTTGGTTTTAACGTTTGTTTTTCTCCTTGTTAGATTTGTTACCCATGAAAAAGTAACATAGGCAAACGTATAATATTTCGTAACAATAGTACGCATTTTTGTTGAAAAAAGCATTACGGGCCAACCCGCCTTACAGTAGGTTGCCTCATGGAAGAATTTCCGTTGGTTTCAGTCTCTTTTTGTCTCCTCATTAGATTTGTTATTGTGTGACTGCAAAAGTTTGTCGGGTTGTAATTGTGTATTGTACTAGAAATTTGAATATGTTCTTACTACTGAGCCTCACCTTGGGTTTACTCAGTTGGAGCTGAGGCAGAAGATGAGAAAATCGAGTTGCTTTTGTCCCAAGTTAAGGGCAAAGATATCACTGAGCTGATTGCTTCCGGAAGGGAAAAATTGGCCTCGGTCCCCTCCGGAGGTGGAGCGGTGGCTGTTGCCACTCCAGCTGGCGGTGCAGGTGGTGATGCACCTGCTGCTGCTGAGACGAAGAAAGAAGAGAAAGTAGAAGAAAAAGAGGAATCCGATGATGTGAGAACAAATATATTTTTTGCATCTTATTATATTTGTTGTGTTATTGCTGATAGAAATTTAATGACATTTGGTCCTGATTTTGCCAAAATCTTTCTTTTCCTGCAGGATTTGGGATTCAGTCTCTTTGATTGAGAAGCTGCAAGCAAACCTTTTCGACCTTGTAATCGCGGTTCTATTTGTAGTTGATTTATTTTTATGTTAAACGGTTTCGGCCTTATTTTTGTAGTTTGAACTACGGAGTTTTGTTGCTCGGACAAAATGGATTTAGACCTTGATTTTTGAGTTTTTATTCTCAGCAATTTGTAGTATTAAGCAATGTTTCAATATGCTAGTCTATAGTAATTTTCCTTTAAAAATGACTAATGACGTTTTCAAATTTTTAAATTATTATGATGCTTTAATTGGGAAGAAAACGAGGGAAATTTAGAGGATTGAATTTCTAATATTAATTGCACTATAGTTTTCATTTATTGTAAAAAAATAATGAACAAGAAAGATCACCTCCTAATTATCATAACTAGTACAGTGCCCGTGCTATGGGGTTTTATTATTTCTTTCCATTTTAAAAAATAATTGTATATTCAAATTAAAATTGTATAATAAAGGAGCAATCATGATATTATTAAATATAATGAAAATGAAATATCTATATTATTGAACACTTCTTTATATACACAGTTATTAGATATAATGATAGAAAAATAAATGAATGTATAATGTTAAGACTCTAAATCCATAATTGAGAAGACGATCATTTGGGTGGAATTCCTTTGACAGTCTTCATTTGAATATATTGGTTGTATGGAAACAACCAATCCAATAATATCTACAAAAATATAAGACAATTATATCATATTAAAATGTCATAATCGACTTTATTATTGGTTTTAGTAAATATATAAAATTTTAAACTACGTAATAAGTAAAAAATTATAACGTACCAAACAATATGGCTTCATCAACATTTCAACATCCATTAAATTTGTAAAGTTCCTAAAGTTGGAAAGGATACATAGTGAAATCGTCCCTCCACTTGTGAATCTTGGTTTGGCCGTTTATAATGATCCTCCAAGTGCATATCGTCGATTTATATCAATATTGTTTTCACTTAGTAGTTTTTCAATATATAAGCGCCACATTCTTCAATTTCACCGATGAATTTTGGAATATTGACGGGTCGAATTATGTTAGTAATTCGTTCTCTCTAAGATAGCATATTCATTAATTCAATAAACAATTAATAAATAATGTAGCATAAAACGATGAATATAAATAATAATGTAAGAACAAATTACCTCAGAATCGTGAAAGATAATATCATGTTTCGATAATTGTACTCGTCTTCAACTCGTTGGAACATTCTAATGATGCGTAGCTCGGTAATTGGCCTAGAAGTTCTTTTGATATCTTTGATTTTTCCAAAAAACCAAAGTCATTTTGAACGATGATGGAAAAGCTGAATCAAAAAATTGTTACGTGGGATGTATTATTTGCTGTCGAATTTTTGTTCATTGTTGGTGATGTTTATATAGTGATTATGTATGTGCCATCTACCTATAAAGTCGAATTTAATATATATATATATATATATTAAAAATCGAATTTTTGAATATTTGGTAATTTGATAAAGGTTTCACATTAAATTGATTCAATTTTATTTTTAAAATTAATTAGATAATGATTAACACAAAGTTTAGAATCTAATAGATATTGTTAGAAAATAAAAAAAATGATAGAAAATCTAAATTGATTTGAGTTTTCATTACCAATTGATTACTCAAAAGAGTTGCATTGGGTGTATAACTATTACCAATTGATTACACAAAGTTTTAAATGAGATACCAATTGATTACTCAAAAGAGTTGCATTGGGTGTATAACTATTAGTTGGAAAAAATCATAGCATATAGGCACAGAATATACATTCCAACATTAATTGATTGATTTGATTTTTTAAAAAGCAAAATGTCAAATTTTTGAAATTAACACAGATTTTGTTAGGAAATTCAAATAGGATGATTTTATGGAAGATAATTATTTGTTGACATTTTTTAATGTGTATCAAGATTTACTTGAAAGTGTTGTATTGGAAGTGTACCACTATTACTTGACATAAATGAATGACCAAATTTTAAATAATTTGCATTAGGATTTTAAGTTGATTTGAATTTATTTACTTAAATAATTTGATTATGATTGATGTCAACAAAATATTTATCCAATTTTATTAAAAAAATGGATATGAAACATGTTGTATATTGTGTTCGAAATACTAAAAGCTTGAATTATGTTATGTTATTTTTAAACATCAATAAGATAATAAATTAGTTAAAAAAAAGTAAAAAAAAAAGGATTCAAAATATGCGTGAGGATGACATATGGGATTGAAAATTATTTCACCACATCAACTTGACTTTATTTTTACCAAAAATAATGGATTTTATTATCATCAAATTAGGTAAGACTTTTGGATTAATTGAAAAATCAAATTTTCAAAAGCATTAATCAAGGCGAGTTTTACAAAAAAATATCAATTTGGTTATACTAAAGATAATTATTTGAAAAGATGTATGTAAGATTTTTTAAAGTTTACGCATTAATCAGGACGTTTTTTTACAAAATATTATCAATTTGGTTACTAAAGATAAGGATTTTAAAAGATGTATGTAAGATTTTTTAAAGCTTAGATAATTATCAAAGTAGTTAAAATAAAAATAAAAAAAATCTGAACAGATAAGGTTGTTACAAAAAAAAAGGCTAAAAAATCCAAATTTGTTACCCATAAAATAGGATTCATATTTTCTTACTAAAGATTCAAATGTTTTTTTTTTAACTTTACATTAATAGTAAGTCAAACATTATATTTATTTGGTCAAACTTTCTATTAATGTATTTTTCCAACAACCTTTTTATATAGATATAGATATAGATATAGATATAGACAAGTAAATATCTTGTGCATATGCACAGATATACATAAAATATTATAAGTAACTTTTGAGAATTTAATATTAAAATTTTAGATAATGATTATATTACATTTTCAAAAATTTGATCATTAGGAAAATTAATTTAACGATTTTATTATGAACAATTGTTTATTATCATTAGATAATAAGTAGTTTGATTATTATTATTATCATCATTATTATTATTAAAAGTACAATTGTTTATAAAATTTTAAAGTTGTTTGACTATGCTATTAAAATAATTTATCAATTGTTTTTAAAGAAAATTTTTCATGAGATACCAAAAAAAAAGAAGATAATATTGATGTTAAAATAAATAACTTGAAAAAAAAAGTTTCAAATTATGTAATTTATATTTATTGTGAATTATTATTAGTTGGTATTAAAAATAACTATTATATAATATAATAGAAAAATACATGACTACACTCAATAGAATGTATAATGTGAGAAGTAAAAAATATTAATGATAAATTTTGTAACCGAAAATAGAGGAAAAAAATTTAGAGGTTTTATTAGATAGGTAAAATTAAATGCTATATGTCAACAATTATATAGATATAGATTGGGAAAAAAAAGATACACCAAACAAAATTTAGGGTTACTTGTAACTGGAATTATGAAACCGATGACCACTGACAATACTAAAGAAATAATTTATCATTGTTCAACTAGTTCAACGCTCGTGTATTACACGGGTGATTGCTAATTTTTTTCTTAAAATTTATAATTTTTTTTTCCTTAAAATCTAAAATTAATGAGAAAAAGTATGTGAAAATTTAAATACTTTTTATAAAAATATATATTATTACATATTTAGTATGACACTTTTTATTTGTGCGACTTACATGTGATATTATAATAATTTTTTTAACTTACAACATATAACTACATTATACATAAATATATCAATTGAGAAATAAATTTATTTTTCTAATGAATTTTGGTAAATATTGTTATTTTTTATTATTATAAAAATAAATATAATTTATTTATTTTATATATGCAATATGCGAAAGACACTTGGTGGTGGAATGACGAGGTGCAAATTACTATTCAGGAGAAGAAAGAGTGTTTCAAGCGTCTCCACCTTGACAAGAGTGCAACCAACATTGAGAGCTATAAAATAGCGAGGAGGGCTGCAAAGCGTGCCGTGAGTGTAGCGAAGGGTCAGGCCTATGATGACTTTTACCAGCGCCTAGGCACGAAGGAGGGGGAGAAAGACGTTTATAGGATAGCTAAGATCCGAGAGAGGAAGACAAGAGACATCAACCAAATCAAATGCATCAAGGATGGGTCGGATCGGCCACTGGTGAAGGATGGGGAGATCAATGACATATGGCGAGAGTACTTTGACAAATTATTTAATGGGGGAGAGTGAGGCGCCTACCCTGGAGTTGGATGACTCATTTGAGAATACCAATAGACGCTTGGTGAGGAGAATTCGGGAGACAGAGATGGGAGAGGCTATGAAGAGGATGAAGGGAGGTAAAGCAATGGGCTCTGATGGTATCCCCATTGAGGTGTGGAGATGCTTGGGCGCCAGAGTGTTAGTATAGCTAACTAAGCTTTTTAACCTCATTTTCCGGTCAAACAAGAAGCCTGATGAATGGAGGAAAAGTACTTTAGTACCGATCTTCAAGAACAAGGGTGATGTTCAAAGCTGTGGTAACTACCGTGGGATTAAGTTGATGAGCCATACGATGAAGCTCTAGAGAGGGTTATCGAG